AACTCCAATTCCATTTTTTTCCTTCCGAATCTAGCGTTTTGTAAAACTGGCTGAATTGTCTCAGGCTGAATTGTCTGTATATTTCTGGCTGAATTGTCTGAATTTCAAATTGCTGAATTGTCTTTGGCCGAATTGTCTGTGCGCCGTTTTTCGGAAATCCGGAACTACAATTAAGTCGTGCAGAGTAAATTCAAATCACCAATAGTTTCGATCAATCTAGTTTCGATATCATTGGATCAAAGTGTGGCTACCACCTAAATATTTGTCCCGTAAAAAATCATGAGATTTATGTTTCTGTTTAGCTCAAGCAATATATGAAATTGATACAATTAATTTTTCTTCAGCTCATCAACCCTTTCTGTGAATGCCGGATACATCACCGGACAAATAAAAGATCTAACCAGAAACTGGAGTCCTCCGATTTAACCAGAGGTCTGGGCGATCGACACTCGTCTTTGGATCCTATTTCGATGCCGGACTACGGGTCCTATCCTTCGTCATCGAAGAACAATTCGGGCGTGCGAGAAGATTTGCTGAACAAATACACTGCCGACTGCAGTAAAATGACAGTTGAAAGCTTACATGGGTTGACATTGCAGGTTTTGAAGCACGCACTGTTCAATCAGTCATTACAACCTACAAAGAAAACCGATGAAGTTGCTGTTGATGAAGCTCAAAACTAGCTCAAAAAATTTGATTACTGCTAGATGTTTAATTTGAAAATTTGTTTTTCACAGCTACTGACTACCAAAATTCCAATCAATTTCTTTTAACCTTGCGATTAGCAAGGGTATTGCAACCGGCTACTAGACTTTCCGTAGATAATTTTGTCCACAGAATGGTCAAATGGTAATCAATATCAACTGTCAAATATCCACTAAGTAATAGCATGGTCAGTGTATTGGTAGCATATATAGTTTAAGAGAAAGTTGAGAGTTGTAAAGTCTTAAAAAGTTGTTTTTTTTAAAATGTTTTTAAATGTGTCTTTCGTCAGTAGCTGATTATTTTTTTCGTGTTTTTGCTTTCTAGCTCAAATTGTTTGGGAAGGTTTGAACCAATCAAAAATAAGTGTCTGGATTTTGATTTATGGGGAACAATTATTATTTTCAAATTTTGTTTCGATTTTTAGTTTTTTAGATGTTTATCTCCTGTTTGGCTCCTAAAATATATGCAGTTTTTATATATTAGATTGTTTTTATACTTTTTCGCTGAAGATATTTGTATAAGATTTTGTTCATTGTTGTGCGATTTACAAACGGTTTCATCGCTTGTCTTATGAGCAATTTAATGCAGTGTAGCCAAGATAGTTGAAGCTGGACTAAAGTTGTTGCTTGTAGATTTTTTTCTACCTTTATATGCTGATGATTAAAAAAACTGCCGAAATAGAATTTTCAAATTTTTCTTGTTTTTTTTTTCAATTTTCTGCATCGCACGTGGTGAGAAGCTTGGCTTCGCCTCTGTGTGTAAATTCAATCAAGTGTGGATTGAAAGTAAACTTAAGATGATCGATTAACATAAATTTGAATTTGGGTTAATTGTGCGAATAGGAATGAAAAAGTTTGGTAGTACAATAACAAAAAACACTTGCTTTAAACAGATTGACACAAATTTTTTTCAGTGCTTTGTTTTTTTTCTTGGTCAGCTCTTAAATTAATTGAAAACCTTAAAACGGGACGACCTATTTTTTTCCGAGGTAACGTTTGGAAATTATCTTTCTGTAGTGTGTAATTGGTTGTTTTAGGCTTGGCGGCTTTGGAAAATTAGCTGAAACGTTATTTCGTTGCTTATTCATTTTTGTGTTTCCTGTTTCAGATATGTATAGCTAATTCGCTCAGTGCGATTTACTTAACCTGTATATATCTGTACATTTCCTAAAGTTGCCTCTCTACATTGGTAAACAGAGTAGGAGTAGTAGTACCATCAGCTCATTAGACAGTCTAATCGCGGCAATTTCTTGGCTACCCGAGTTTGGGAGTAGTTATTATAAATTTGGTAATTCCTAAGACTGATCGGGAAAGATGTTTGCAAAGCAAGGAGTTCCACCAGACTCAGGATCTACTCCGACTAGCTCCCCTCTAAGTGGGGGTCCCCCTTCTTCTCCATGTCCCCCGACCCCTCTGAGGAAGACGATTCCGGCTCTCAATATGCGCATGAAAACATTCAAGAAGTCGAGTGCGAAAATTCATGACTCATTGTCTAGGTGTAGATCTGGCAAGCCTCTACACAGGTACTCTGGCTGTCAAAGAGGAAGTAATCTGGAGCTCCTACGTAAGGTGAGAACCTTACAAGTTGAATTTATCTATTTTTGTTGCTTGTTCGTTTTTCTTTCAAAATCGGTAAATATGTCCTCTAAAAGACAGTACAACCTATTGGATTTTCTCTCTCTACCATCCCAAATGTTATCAGGCTGATTTCTCATTGCATGTAATTGGGAGATTTTAATGTTTTAAAAGTGAAATGCTATCTTGTAGCTGGTTTTTGAGGTATGATATATGATTATTTGAGATCTTCGTAGTTAGTCGTTTACCCACGAATAAGTGAAGCATACAAGTTGTTTATGACGAACCTGTTTCAACGCCTTTTGTTATGATATACTTGCGTTTTTCGACCCTCAAGCAACCAACACAGTTGTTCTCCACACACTAACCTTGCAATTGTAAAACTTGCCATTTTAACTTCATCCGTGTAGATGATTGGTTTCGCGATTCATTCTCCTCGTGTTTTATTTTCACGTATGAAAAAATTGACATAAGATACTGTAAGGAAAGCCTTTTTGTTCGTCATGCCTTTTAACAAAACCCGTAAAAGCAAGCCAAATTTGTATGAAAGTTTGCCATGTGTGAAGGGGAGAGTGGGGGAGGAATTGAACGGAGCTATTTTGGTTTGTTTTAGGCGCTGCAGCCTTCGATCAACCGAGAGATGCAGAAGATGTTTGACGACTACCACGAGTTGTTCTCCATGGCCAACGAGAACATCCGCGAGAACATCGCCAAGGACGACGATAGTAGACCCGAACAGTTCCTGCTGGTGGCCATGCGAATAGCCATCGAGGAGGCCAAGAGGTCATTCGCCACTCAGTTCCCACCCTACAATGCCGCAAATGCACTGCCTCTCCCGAGACCAGTCAAAGTGAGGATAAATTGATTTTGCATTGTGATTTTGATTTAGAGGATTAATTGTGTTTATGCCTTGTTTGTTCCGTCCACTGCATGCGAAGAAGAACTTAGTTTGTATGTTATTTGTTAAAAGTCTACTCAACCAAAATCAGCAGGTGGCACAAACAGATGTCAGATCGGGCCGAGTGATGTTAATACTTGAAAGCCCTTTCAGACGATACTGCTTTTAAGTCTTCAGAATACTTTTACCAGTGTAGAGAGAAACCATTTTTGCTAGTTTTCCGACATTGTTATATGAGCATTATAATGATCCATTCCATGTTTTTATAGAAGCGACCAGTCGTGGCCGCCATGGATGCCAGTCGTCTTCTGGCAGTCATCGACGGATCCGAGTTTGGTCCAGATAACACTCAAGGCCACGACAACAACCACAGCTCAAGTTGGAGCCAAAATCCCCAGTCTCAGCAATCTTCTTTGTCTTCCACGTCAGTGCAATGCAGCAGTGGGAACAACAAACGACCTCCCATGCAATGGAGTCTATCTCGAATTAACTCGGATACCCTTTTCACACTCGGAAGCCGAGCTAATAAAGCTCTGGGATTGGGCACGACTAGAGGCCGACTCTACATCAAACACCCGGAGATTTTCAAATACCCTGCCGACCAGGCGGATAAACAATGGTTATCGGAGAACGGACACATGCAAGGAGTCGGAGGTCGGGTGTATCTTGTCTTCACCGAAGATTTGTTCGACCTCGCTGAATCAAGAGAGTATAAAAATATGCCAGGTGTAAATCCAGCGCTAATTTCTGGCTTTAAACTTCCGACGCATATCCAAAATAAAGCCAGGCAGTACATGAGCACAATGGTGCAATACATTAAGAAAGCGGCGTCAAATGTGGCAGTGACTCAGCAGAATATGACTGGCGGAGAGCCTTCGGTTTCGTCGGCTCATGTGCAAGTCGGCTCAGTGAACGGCGGGCCTTTGAGAGAAGTGAATGCTATGTCCAGTGCATCGGGTCATATATCAAACAAAACTTAACCTGACTTGCAAGCTGCTCTCTATTCTTGAACTGTCTCATTTGAACTCGTCCAAAAAAGTTGAAATCATTTTAATTATAATTCTATATTCTCAATTGCATTGCATATTACTCTTGAATACACTTGAATGGATTTATATCTTCAATGTCGGGATTTGATGTTTGTGCTTTTTCGTATCCGGTTTAATAATTTATAAATCAGTAAACCCTCTTCTGTTGAAAAATTGAGAGGAAGTCAAAATATGTTGTCAATTATCAAGTCATGCGTTAACGCAGCAGAAACATGAGGATCCAAAAACTGTCTCCAATCAAATCGTGCGAATCTAGTGTTTTTTCTGGAGAGTGAGGGCATTCTAAATTATCTTTAAAAGTTAAGTGGTGTTTTTTTCAACCTAATTTGCTGAAAGGAAAATATATGCTCGATTGGAAATTGAGTTAAAAAACCATTAGTTCTGAATTATTCTAATTTGGCCTGATTACAATATATTCAAGCAAAGAATTTTTTTAGGTTTTACTGAAAAATTATAGGTATTTAATTACGCTTGCGACTAGAAAGCGTTATCAAACTGAATATAGACTTTTTTGCGGGTTAACGACTTGTTTAACAGAATCACGTGAATCAATCATGGTTCACAATGGATTCAAATTTCTAAGCGTTTCCGGCACAACTAGTTTGGAGGAAACCAATGCGCCTGGGACGCCAAAGGTCCTCGGTTCGAAACTGACCGGTCCTGTTTTTTCTTCAAACAGAAACAGTCCGTTTCAAAAAAAAATTGTCGGCTTCTTAGTCTGCTTTTGTTTTGTCGGCTTAGTTGCCTTATTGTAGATTTTTTTTATTAAGTTTCCATACATTATAGTTGCTTTTAGTGTTATGATAAACCTCTGCTGTTTGTAATTTTACTAAAACTGACTTCATATATATATATATATATATATATATATATATATATATATATATTTTTTTTTTTTGTTTTTTCGTTAAAAAAATTTGTTCTGCTCAAATGGTTTTGGCCTATTTATTATCGGCGTAGTGACCTAAGTTTGAGTTGTTTCAACGGAAACACTGTTTATGCTCACCTCTGGATTGCGCAAAATGCTAAATTTTTTAATAGAAATAGAGTTCAAATTTTTCATGATAACAATTTTTGTTTCAGCTTTTTTGATTTTTTTCTTTTTTTTAGCTGGATAGGTTGCGGCGTATTTTGTATCAGCTTATTGGCCTCATATTGCGTCTTTCGACGAGCGAAATTGTTTTATGTGTGAGTGTCTGTGTTTTGAGGTTGAACGGACTTAACATCTTCTTAGTCTTAATGTTTTTTCGGCTTTTTCATTTTGGTTTTTTGGGCTTAGTGGATTTCGGCCTATATTATATTGGCTTAGTGTGCTCATATTGTTTCTTTTGACAAGCAAATAAAGTATTTTGAGGGTGAGGTGGACTTATTAATTTTTCAAAAGTCTGATTAAAGGGTTTTTGACAAGGTTTATTGGCTTTGTTACTGCTGAGTACATTAGCTTCCCATGCCTATTACACATTCTATTGTTTTTTTGTGTTTCTGTTTCAAAACTACCTTTATTTACTTCAATAGATCTAGTTTTTTTGACCTATTTGATTTTTTCTTCATTTTTTTTTGTTTTGTATCGCAACTGATGCGAAACTCAGCTTCGCCTCTGTGTAATAAATTGATAATCATGAAGCGAGAAGTGATAAAATAAGTAAGAATTTCAATGGGTAAAATTTCCGCTTGGAAGCTCAAAATTTGGAATTGGAAAAATAAATCTGAATTTTTGTTCCGACCAATGAAAATTCGGGTGTGTTTTTGTTGTTTTTTTATTGTTGTTTTCCACGCAAAATGCAGGTACCACAAACAATCATCGGACTGGGTTGAAAAATATATCCTATTGAAGTCCTGACAATTGGAATTCAAACCACATTTGAAAAATTTTAAAAAGTTTTCTCTCAGTCGAGAAAAACCGGCTTGAAATTTTTGATTTTTTTTTCTTTCGAGCGAATGAAGCGAGAGTTTTCTTATTTCAATTGCTTAAAAGCTTACAAGAACTTATTTGAAAACGTAAATTTTTAGTTTTATTTGAGTAAAGGTAGTTTATTTTGAGCATTTTAGCGCCTTTTTGAATGTTTTCATTTTTCAAGCTAATTTTTTCAAAAAAAAAATCGTTTTTCAGTTTGTTTGTTTTACTATGACTGCCTAACATATCTAATCTCCAGTTTTTTGCTCAGCTCCTTTTATCACACCACGCCGAAAGACAAACGGCGATACTATAATGTGAAAAAATTTTCTTGAAATGTTTAAGACTATGGTCGACCCATTCTGGGCCACTTTCACAGTACCCGGCTATCCTTGTTTCTTTTTGAATTTTGAATTGTTGCTTAAAGCTCCTTGCTTACACTTGCGATAGCAAGGGTTTTGCAATTGGTACTAGAATTTTTTCCATAAATAATTCAAGGCACAAAATGGGGCCTTGAGTTATTTCTAATTTTGGTAAGTAATACCAAAATTAGAACTGGTAAATTTAGTTTCAGTTTTTGATTAATTTATTTTTTTTGTCTCTGGCACACTTTGCCTTGAATTAACGAATACGCCTGGGACGGGAAATGTCTTGGGTTCGAATCTGCAGGACCTGTTTTTTTTTTCCAACGGGAAACATTCCGTTCACAAAAAATGTCGGCTCGCTATTTGTCTGCTTGTTTTGTCGGCTTAGTTGTCATTATGCTGAATTGTTGTTTTTTTTTAAATTTTTTTCTTACATTACAGTTGCTTTTAGCGATCTGGTTTACCTCTGATGTTTGTAATTTTACTAGCCTTGACTTTTTATGTTTTCTTTTTTTTTCGCTTAACAATTTTTTTCTGCCCAAACGATTTGCACCTAATTTTTTACTGGATTACTGACCTAATTTGGATTCGTTTCGAGGAACACAAAATTTTTATGATCAACTCTGAATCGCACAAAATTTTAAAAATCTCAATAGAAATTCTAGTTCAAGTTTTTTGTGACAACCACTTGATAGGTTTTGGTCTATATTATATTGGTTTGTTCGACAAGCAAAAGAACTGTGTGAGCGTGTCTGTGTTTTCAGGGTGAGGGGGATGTAATAACTTAAGTCCTGTTGAATTTTTTGGACTGAACAAAAAAAGAAGACTTAACAAAAAAGCGGGCAATTATTTTACTCGCTTTTTTGTTAACTGGTGTAATTGGCAAAATTTATTCTCTTATGACTATCTTATTTTTTTTGTTTAGGAATTGCAGTAATTTTGGTGCCCTTTTTACTGTTATGTTTTTAATGAAAGAAAAGTGTTTTGTAAAGCGGTGAAGGTATTTGCCAAGTCTCAAGAGTGACGTCTAATTTGTTTCACGACAGTCATTTGATAACTTCTAAAATCATTTTCAAAACCCAAAACTCTTCAAAAAAGGTTTGCTCGACGACTGATCATCACCATTTGGTCTGTGGTTACGTCTCCGCCTCTCAAGCAGAAAGTCGGATGTTCGAGGCCCGCCATGATCTGTGCTCGTTGCTTGAGGGTGAAGCAACATTAACCAGCCCAGAAAAATAACCAAAAAATTGTATGTAGTTCTTGAACAGGGGCACAACAGCGGTTCGCCGTGATGAGCTGTACAGCTCTTGTGTTGGTCCTTTCCCCCGTGGATAAATGGTCTTAATCTAAAGCTGGAGGTTCCGCTGATGTGATCTCTCATGCCTGAAGAGTCAAATGCCAAAATTCATTTTAACCAATAAAAATAAAGTTCAGTATTCAAAAGTTCGTGAGAAATAGTAATTAAGTTAGTAGCTCTTTTTCCGCCCCCTTACCGCAATACGCATTAGTTGTATAATGTAACGAGGGGTTTTGTAGGGTTACGTATGACGACCAAAAAAGTTTAACATGGCCTAATAAGTATGCATGCCAACTTTGTAATGGGCTGAAAATGTGACTAAAAATCATGTTTGCTTTGGGCAGTTTAAAACGCGGATGGAAGGACGTTGATAGTTTGGAAATTTGTTCGGCACTTTGATCTTTTCAATAGACCACGTTTTTTAAGCATATTTTTGGGAAGTTTCACGTGCTTTGATAAAATTTCATGCAAACTTGGTTGGTTTTGGCAGTGCCCTATGAACGTAGTTTCATTGCTTCCTCGAGGAAAAATTTTGGCGCTTTTACTATTGCAAATATTTCAATTTAGCACGTTATTATGGAAGCAACTTGATCATTGATAGAAAAACAAGTAAGAACCAGCAAAAAATTTTGGTTTTTTCCTTCCCCCACTTTGAAAAAAATATATACATTTAAAATTTGTTCTTAATTTAAATCATTGCTTAGAGTAATAATTTATTTCTGGCGCTGTTTGGGATCATTTTCTTTCCCCTGACATTTCAAGAAGGACTTTTATCCACATTTTCCGATAGGCGAACTTTGCAATGGAAAGACAAAAATGGGCTGATAAGCGTTCCGCCTGAGCTTTTTTCAAGTTCCCCCCTTCATTTGTGCTCGTGTGGTTTTTTTCTTCAGACAAGTTTCGAATTTTTAACTAGCCATTTTTGACAAAACTTTTTACATCATTCAGAAGTATTGTTGTCCTGAGCTTGAATTTAAAAAGATATTTCACCTGTGATTATTTTTTGTAGAGGTATGGGGGCTTAAAGACTGATATTTTGGCCAATTTCAGACAATTAAGAGCGATATATTTTGCGCTATTAACGCGTAAGCGGAGATTTAATCCGTATTAAAAATTGCTCCAAATTGGTTGAAGGAAGATTATTTGCCATTAAATAATTCATTACTAGGAGCGAAATCTATTACTTTGTACTTTATGTGTGGTGTGGGGGGGGGGGTGATTTTTACAAAAAATATTTTTATATACTTTTTAATTTTATTTCATTGCATTCAATTTTATCATGTTATTACTGATCCATATACCTTAGAAGGCAGTCGGAACAATCAGGGCTTCGTCCTGATACGAACAGTCTTGTTTAACTTTGTCATAACTTAATGAACCTTTGAATTGATGCGAAAAAAATATATTTAATTTGAATGCATTTGATCATCACAATTTTTTGTTTACCGTATCAGTCCGCATGCCAATTTTTGTAACAATCATATGGTTGTTACCAAAGTTGGGAGGCGGACTGATAAGGTCAAGGCAAACATACGTGGTTAATCTAGGAGGGTCCGGGTCTTTTCTTTTACTCTCCTCATAATATATAGCCCTCCTAG